CCCCCCACCAAATGGATTACAGCTCTGAATGTAACTTAGAAGAAAAGAGAAGAGTAAATCTTCATGACTACGGATTAGGCAATAGTTTCTTCGATATAACACCAAAAGCACAAGCAACAACAGCAAAAATAAATAAATTGGACTTTATTAAAACAAAAACTTTGTGCTTCAAGGAACAAAAAAGTGAAAAGACAATACTCAAAATGGGAGAAAAAATTTGCAAACCATGTATCTGATGGGAGACTTGTACAAAGACTATATAAAGAACTCTTACAACCCAATAATAAAAAGGCAACCCAATTTTTAAAAAGGACTAAGTATTTGAATAGACATTAATCCAAAAAAGGTATAAATGGCCAATAAACACACAAAAAAAGATGCTCAACATCATTAGCCATGAGAGGACTGCATATCAAAACCACAATGAGATGCTACTTCACACTCACAAGAATGGCTGTAATCAAAACAGACAGATAAAAACAAATATTGGCAAGGATGTGGAGAAATAGCAACCTTGGGCTGGCCCGGTGGCGCACTGCTACAGTGCAGCGCTCCCACCGAGGGTTCGGATCCCACATACAGACCGGCCGCTCACTGCTGAGCGAGGTGCGGGCGCCAACACCGAGGGTTGCGATCCCGTTGCTGGTCCCGGTCCGGTACGGGCGCGACACTGAGGGTTGCGATCCGTTTCCGGTCACGAAAAAAGACAAAAAGGAAAAAAAAAAAAAGAAATAGGAACCTTTATACACTGCTGGTGGGAATGTAAAACAGTGCAGTCGCCTTGGCAAACAGCTTGACAGTTCCTCAAAAGGTTAAACACAGAGTTACCCTATGACCCAGAAATCCTACTCGTAGGTATATATGCAAGAGAAATAAATACATGTCCACACAAAAACTGTACACTAATATTCACAGCAGCATTATTCATAATAATTAAAAGTGGGAACAACCCAAATAGCCACCAACTGATGAATGGACAAAATGCAGTATTATCCATATAATGGAATATTATTCAACCAGAAAAAGATGAAGTACTGATACAAGCTCCAACATGTATGAACCTTAAAAACATGCTAAGTGAAAAAAGCCAGTCATAAAAGTCCACATATTACATGACTCCATTTGTATGAATGTCCACAACAGGCAAATCCATAGAGACAGAAAGTAGATTAGTGGTTGCTCAAGTCTAGGGAGGTGTAAGGAGGATTGGAGGCAAATGGGTAGTGACCGCTAAAGGGTAAGGGGTTTCTTTTGAGGGTGATGAATAAGTTCTAAAATTAATTGCACAACTCTGTAAATATAATAAAACCCACTGAACTGTATACTTTAAATGGCTGAATTGTATGATATATAAATTATATCTCATTAAAGCTGTTAGAAAAATAAACTAACTCATGTTTCAAAGTAACAATATCTCCTTCACAACAAATTCAGTGCAAATGCACTGTACGAGGGGACTAAATGATTGTAAAAAAAACCTAATAATTTGGAGGAAAAAAACCAAATGGGCAAAAATACCTATAGCATTTTTATCAAATTTAAGATTATGCAAAATAATAACATCCATTGCTGAGGGATCTATTCATATGTAGTGTAAGTATAAAGAACTGCACAAGAAAGAAACCCTTCAGTCTGGAAGGAAAGAGGAAGAAGCAGCTGAGAAGAGATAAGTACACAAGAGGACTTTAACTATGCCAGAGTGCTTGACTTATGAATCTGGGTAGAGCACAAAAAGTCATTCATTTGTTATTCTTTGTATCTTTTCTGTGTGTTAAGTACTGCTTAATAAATTTAAATTTAAATTAACAACTAGTAATAGTATTAAAGCTGAATAGATGCATGTGCTAAAGTATGAAATAATAGGTAATATTTTGATTTTGCCAGTAAGTCAAGAATGAAGCTATTAGCAAAATATTTATTAAATTCTAGAAAGCTAGAACACAGGCTGGGAATACACTGCCTTTTGTCTTTGACTCATTAATATTTTAAGTCAGCAATTTGTTTTTTTTAAAGGCTGGCAATCAGATCTTTCCCCTTTAAAAGGCTCAGTTTCAAGACAATTTCTTAAGTTGGTCTCAAAAATCTACCTTGATATCTACAATATATTATAGTAACTACTACGCAAAAGGATGAAACAGACATCAAGGAGAGATTAGAGTATGTTCATCAAAGCCTGTCTTAAGACAGAGAAATAATATTATAGAAAGATTTCTACCACAATTAATACATTTGTGGACAATGTATAAATCTGTAACTACCTCAGAACACCAAGGTCCAGTACATCTTCCATTTGCCATACGAGATAACTAATGACTTGGCCTTGCTCTACTAAAATCTAGCTTCATTGAACGAAGTAATCAAATGAAGATCCAATACATACTGCCTTCAAATGATAGGATTATACTCTCATTTTACACCTGTATTGCTCTTACCAAATCTCATGATTTTAGTTAACCCACTTAAAGGATATGCAAGGACAACTTTAAAAGCATTTAGCTTCCTATACACACGGTTCAACGTTTCTGAGTGTATACATAATGAACTTTTGTAAACTGATACTATAAAAATCCTTAGTAATGTTTATTATTTATTTTTATTTTTTATTTTATTTTTATTTTTTGAGACAGGCCGCACCGCGCTCAGCCAGTGAGAGCAGCGGCCATCCCTATATAGGATCCGAACCCGCGGCGGGACCAGCGCCGCACTCTCCCAAGTGCACCACGGGCTTGGCCCTTTTATTAATTTTTTAAAATTCTAATTCATTTAGTTGAAATGACACTTACCCTAAAATCATTCTTAAATTTCTTTAAATCATCAATCTGTTTTCTGTGTTCAGAAACAATTGGTGATATACCTGTAAAATTAAGAACCGTTAGATACAGATTCATTTCTCTCTCTCTTTTTTTTTCTGTGGCTGGCTGGTACAGGGATCCAAACCCTTGACCTTGGTGTTATAACAACTTAACCAGCCAGCCCTCATTTCTAACCTTTAACTTAAAATTCCCTTAGTATGGAATATTAGAAATCAGAATAGAACTACAATCAAAAGAATGACAATTTCAAATATTAATTTTAGATTTTGGCACTTGTCAAACTACACAATACTAAGAAAGTGTTTTAAAAAATACTCTGTATTGGGCACAAAATTAGACATACTCCTTATTTCTGTACTTATGCCTAAATACTTTTAAAAACTCTAACCTTTATTTTCAGCTTTTGAGAAGCTAGGTGATATTTCATTGGGCTTAATATTTTCTTTATTCCCTGCAGGAGAGTTCTGCCTCTGATCTTGAAGCCTGGAATCTTTAGCTAGAAAACAATTTTTAAAAAAAAATTTCAGTTAGACAGAAGTTAGAAAAGTAAAATAGGAAAAGACTTTTGATTTCTTATGTTTTTGGAAAAGAATACTGTACTTTCATTTCAACAGAAGCTTTTCTCCTTTGTAGACATCATATCAAACACCAAGAATTTATTTACTTATTTTTAAAATAGATGACTGGTAAGGGGATCTTGGCCCTTGACTTGGTGGTGTCAGCACCACACTCTCCCAAGTGAGCTAACTGGCCATCCCTATATAGGGATCCAAACCTGTGGCCTTGGTATTATCAGCACCACACTTTCCCAAGTGAGCCATGGGCCGTCCCCCAAGAATTTATGTAAGTATTTAAAACCCAGGAATGTTAACCTTCATAACAACAGACACTGAAGAATAAGATACATGAAATTTGCAGTATTACTTAAACAAGTAACTTCATTTACATGAAATTTTAAATGTGCATTCAAAATACATATCCACAAATTAAACAGAATTTTTCATATAAAGTTAACCTCTACCATGCAACTTCACAAACGACATTATGGATGTGGAAGACCTTTCTTACATACCCTCGACAGATGGAGTAACAGCTCTGTTGGATGCAGGACTAGCAGGCGTAGGAGATGCAGCTGGAACAGGCATGGCAACAGCTTCAGCTGGAATAATACCACCTTGGGGAGAAGTAAGAATTGGCCCGCTGGGAGAATTTCCAATATTGTTCTGTCTGGGAGACCTGGGTCTGTGTGTTTTAGGGGATAATCTTGGAACTAGAAAAAAGGGAAAAGTTATTTATTAAATTCTCACCTCAAATGTCACTTTCTCAAAGAGCCTTCTCTGAAGTTGTAAGTAAGACAGCCCCCATTCTTTAGCCCCTTACCCTGTTTTCTTTGCCAAAGTCTTCAGCGGCTTGGTGGTAATTGAGAACACAAGTATCTGAAGAACAACAGCAATTACTAATACCTAAGTACAACTGTGATTTTCCCTTCTAACTCAATGTATTAATTCTGAAAGGCAGTATTTTGAATGAAGTTGGAAACTGGATTCCTAAGATAAGATAAATGCCACTTTTTAAGATAAAGATAGCAACTGTGTACTAAAAAGTTGAACTGTTTCTTTAACAAAAATGGGGGGTGCGAGGGAGGGTGTCACATGGGTTCCTAATAAGTAGGCTTATTCCTTCCTCCTTCAAATAATACACTATCAGACCTTTCAGCAGCTTGTAGCCCATCCTATACGTTCTTTCTTGCTACATCAAGATCTACTGTGCAGTAACTAAAGAAAAAGGGATCCAATTTAGTCAAAAGGGGAAGCTAGATACTGCAAGCAGGGATTGATATTCCATGACTTCAAAATAAAAATCTAACAGGTTTCATATTCCATTATAAACCTATTTGCAGAGCTCAGATTCAGAGGTTTAGAGAAAATGTTTCAATTTTCTTCACTTTAATGGTTCTTTTAAGTCACAAGAGTCACGGAAGGAAACTATTATTCAACGATTATCCTTTTTCCAATTAGTATAAAGAGCAAAACTATAACACCGTTCTGGGTGTATCTCCAACAACTATGTTTTCACTCTCTTGCTTCTAATCATGTTGTTACTCTCAAAATTCATTTCCAGACCATCTGAGTAATAAAAAGGATTAATAGAACAGCTGAAGAAGATTTTTAAAATTTCTATTTTCTTGTTAAATCTTAAGATAATTGAAGACCAAGGAAGAAAACAGAACGTACAAAGGAATTTACAGTACAATTACATGAATGTACATCACATGGAGCTGAGCAGACCATGTATATGAAATAAAAACAGACATTTAACAGAGCTAGGTATTTTTTTGTTTGAATTTAAAGACCTTTTTTCTTTTAAGATTCTAAGGACTGATTAAGGACCACCCTCCCGGGGCCGACCCCGTGGCACACTCGGGAGAGTGTGGCGCTGGGAGCGCAGCAGTGCTCCCGCCTCGGGTTCAGATCCTATATAGGGATGGCTGGTGCACTCACTGGCTGAGCACGGTGCGGCCAGGTCACAAAAAAAAAAAAAGGACCACCCTCCTACCCCCCCGGCCCCAAAGCAGTCATTGAATGCTCTAACTCTCCATGGTTATTATGGGAGCAAACAATTAAGGATTAATTGACAAAGTAGCCAAAGCAACCTTAGCCTAACTGAAATCTTGTCAAAGTGAAATTTTTACACTTTTATAGCTGTTGACTATCAGCATATTCCTCAAGCTAATCACAAATAAAACTTAGACCCCTCATTTATGTTTGATATTCCTTATAAGTGAAATACAATCAGGAATTGGTATAGCACAGATGCTATAGAAACACACCACACTGTAAGACCAAAACAAATGTTCATGGAATAAATCAATGAACACAGTTTAAAAAGAAGTAAGGTCCCTCCAAAGTGTTACATACAGTCACTGCCTTTATATTAGAGTAGTACTTTATAAAACAGCAAATGATATTCATATTTATGAACCTCAAAGAAATCTCAACACAAGCCCATAAAATAGACCAGGCAAGAATTGATTTACTCATTGAGAAACTGAAATTCAGAATGATTGCATGACTTGCTCTACCATGATGAATAAGTTGTGGAGCCCAGAATAAAAATGTAGTTTTCCCAATCCCTTGTTATTCCACTATTGTATTTTTAATATACACACTCCCTCAAACAGAGCTTTAGCTCAGCCCTTTTACACTAGTATAATTATAAAATGAACACTGTCATTATGCCCCAAGCCAAGTGTTACCTACCCCCACTGACCACTGATGACCATGTTCCCCCTGAAGGACTAGTCCTTGCCACTGGAGGAGTAGCTGCTTCACTTGGTGGGTTGTGGGATACAAATTCTAGGCCACTGGATATGGAACCCCTCCCAGCAGAAACTCTGTGATTTCGAGGGTGTCGCTGGGCCTTTGGGGACATCCTTGGAGGCCCTAAGAAAGGAACAGTGAATATCACATAAATGCCAAAATGTTCATCAGTATTACTTTTCTGCTAATACACACACATGCTCTCTATCACTTCCTCACTGCACAGTTTCTTCTTGGTCAAAAAAATTAAAAATGCCACACGTATTTTTGGCCATATTAACTCTTTCAGAATTATTTCATGGAATGCCACAAAGTTTTATAAATACATTTTACTTTATTATTTAAAAAAAAGGGGGGGGGAGGGGGAATGAAGTTGGTGGTAAGAAATCAAACAATAAAATGCATAATTCTTACAAGAATTTTAGCAATCTGTTTAATCTACATCCATTATTTGTAGGCATATAAAAATAAAGAAATATAATGTTAATAAAAGTTATGGTTACATTATGGAATAATCTTAACTTTACCATATACTTTTACCTTCCCCCCACCAAATTTTCTACAATATATTGTTAAATGAAAGACTACTAATCCCTATATACCTCTATACTATTGAAATATATGTACATACTCCTCTTAAATTTCTCCAAAATTTTTGTTTATCTACCTTTTCTGCATGATCATCAATTTTACAACTCATGGCTTACAACAGTTCTCACCTGTAAGCAGTTTCAACAGGCTGTGAGCTGAAAATGCTACTGTTAATGCATGACTTATAAAACCAAAATAATTGACATACTGGGAAAAACATTTGCACTGTATGAATTGCCAAAATTCTGTATCATTGTTTTGCCACTCCATTAGTGATTTCTCCTTCTAAAGCAGTTTACTGTGCATTAGACCAAACCATCAAGAGAAAACAGTGGACAGAACAGAAGTGCTCTCACCACAGAAGTCTGACAGTGCTAACACTGTGCAAAAACATTGATAATGTCAAAGCCAAGGCTCCTAGACCCCACCCTACTGCCAAACTCTTTAGAACATCAAATTAATGTGTGTCCTCAATAGAAATTTAATCATGGACATGACCTTTAAAACAATGTGTTACAGACTATGATTTTCAACTGGAGATATCTATCATCCCTGAGTAATGCAGAAGGTACATTACTGTGTCAATAGTTAGTCCATGAGCAGGCCTTACATCTTACTTATTAACAATGTTTTATCTAATACATTCTCATGATATAAACATTTAGTCAAATGATGGGCTGCAATAAATATTTCATCTGAACTTTGCATTTAGTGGTCACCATTAGAGGCACTTTGGGGTAAGGAAGTCACCTTCAAAATCAGTGAAACTTGCTATTCAAGGACGAATGCATCAGTTAAAGTCATGTGACCTCTCTGCCTGGGCAGCAACTACTTAAAAGCAGCCAGCATAATTTTCTCCAGGGAAGCAGTTTATATGGAAAACTTTATTAGTCCCACTGTAAGTTACATCAACTGTGATTTTAATGAACAAATCGGATTAAAATTTTAACACAAATATTCTGAACTGTCCTAATAACAAAAGGATATTATTCAGAAAACAGGTTTTTAATTTATGTACTGCATTTAAATTAGAATGTTAAACACATCCATGTATTTGAAATGTAGTAATGGTGAATTTAGCACCAAAATATTGAATAAGAATTGTAAGACTTTATTCTTATTTTTGAAAAGGACGAAAAAAAAAAAAACCCTAAAGATTCAAACTCACACCTGGGTTTCAATCAATTTTATCTTAGATCAAGGACTTCTCCCAGATTAAAGTAGCCTTTTACTATGTTAATACTATAAAGCTAATTTTAAAAAATTACTCAATTAAATTTAGAATTCTTCAGGCATTCTAAAAAACAAACTTTGTATTTTAATCTAAGGATAGATATACAAATGCAGCTACCAAAAAAAAAAAAATCCTAAAACACCTTTCCTCTCCATGGCCAACAGGAAAGTACACTAGCACCTTGGCCAAGTAGCTGTAAAATAATAGGTTCTACAATAAGTCTAAGACTGGGTGAAGGAAGTTCATTATTTCCCATTAACCACCGTATACAGTTTAAATTAGGAGGAAGAAGGCTGTGGGCAGACCTATCTGGGGTTGTAAAGGAACATCATTACCAGGCAGAGATAAACCCCATTTCTTACAATTCAGGATAGTTCATAGCTTCACACAGCATTTATCAAATTTCTCTCTGATGAACAAAAGGTTAATAGAAATAATTTTAATAAACTGAAGTTAAAACACAGAAATTATAGGTTATTAAATAATGAAGAGGAAACTATTTTGTAATTATAAACTCACATAGGAGTTAAACAAAGACAAACAAAAACATGAACAAATTGTGGTATTGTACCTTCTGAAGACATGCGTTTAGGCATAGTAGAGACAGGAGCTGGAGAACCATGAGCAGAGGGGTGAGACGGGGGTCTGGATGGCCGCGAGGGGGGCCTGGAGGGCGGCCGTGTAGGGGTGGCTGCCCGAGGTGGAAGAGAGTTGGGACCTGACTGGTAGCGAGAAGGTGGGCGAGAGGAAGGAGATGGGCAAGGCGATGGCCAGGGAACACCTGACAGAACAAATGATATGAAGGAAAGTATAAAAACTAAAGAAAAAAATGAGGGAAAAAAGTAAACAGAAAAAAAAGTAAAATGACAAAAATGATTTCTTGTACATTTTAACCCTTTGAGGACAGTCATTTGATTTGTGATAAGTTTTAGCATAACTTAACTGACATAAATTCACATTTTACTTTAACCTCCTTAAAATTAAGTCTTTAAATGAGTACACGTTCCCAAAGGGTTAATCAGGATCTACACATACTATTGAAGAAGACAGTTAAGACTCTGCCTATTAATCCTGCTTCTATAACTATTTCTCAGTAATAAATTGCTAAAAGGAATACAACATACACTAGATAATCTCACACAATAAATCACAATAATTCCAACTCAGGAGTAAGATTATTTACTACATTAGTTTTAGCTTGGAAACAATGAAAATAAGCAGCAGCAACTATATACAATTAAAAATGCTGGTTCCTTACAAGCATCTATGATTTTCATCAGGTTTATACTTGAACCTAAGGTTTAGTTTGAAATCTCATTAAGCAAGTCCCACTTAAGTAGAAATAAAACATTAGTTCTATTTTGTATAGTCAGAGGAGTAACAAAGGTTACTCATTGCTCTTTCAAAAAAAAAAAAAAACACCTTAATCTCATTAAACTAGAAAAAGAAAAGGAACTGTCTAAATAATTTATGTAGTTAAACACTTATCTAAGAGATAGCTTAAAAACAGTCTGCATAACTGCTTAAACAACAGACTGCATAAACAACACAAGTAAACAACAAAGCAGTCACCACCAAATAAATAGATACTGATAGATATGCACGGGTCAAAATACAGCTAACAGTTAATATCACACATCACTTACCTTAATCCTAGGAACCAGCCCAGGTCTCCTCTCCATAGGGTTGCACACACTTGAGTATCTACATTTCCCAGCCCGCTTTGGGTTTTTTACTTTGAAAATTCTGTTTATGAACAACTAAAAGTCTTTACTCAGTGAGCAAAGAAATCTCGCCCCCAATACTAAGTACAGAAAATACTCAAGAGTGTTCATTTGGAGAGGAATTCTGGAGAAAATACTCAATTAAAAAAAAAAAAAATGAAACTGGAAACTTAGTGTTCTCTATTTTTATCTAACTTTCCAAGTTTAAATACCTAAAACTGAATGCCCACTCTTTTCCTTAAATTAGTAACATACTATATTTCCATACCATCCGCTGTTCAGTATCCCCAACTTACATAAGATATCTATAACCTATGAGCTATATTCAATCTAGATATAGAGGTAAAGTTGAAAATGTCTTCCTACTGAAGACTCAACTTTCTTTTACTTAAGTTGCTAAACTACAACAGCCACCTTTGGACTAAGAGCTGTTTTTGTTGTTTTTTAAGCACATTTCTGTCATCACTTTCTTCACATGACTCTTGGTCATGTCTTGTATTATAAGATACCTCAAATCCAAGCAAGCAGAATATGAATATATAAACAATTAATGAAAATGAACCTATATTAACCACTGAGTGTTTCACCCAGATTAACATTTTCCATATATATTATGTCTAAATTATTATCCAGTGTTCTTAAAATTGAGAACCTACACAAAGTTTCCAATTTCTTTATATGTGGAGTGTTTTTTGGCAAAGTGAGTGTCTTTGGTTATATTAAGCATTTTATCTTAGTACATGAGTATTTTTTCATGCTAAATACTACTATATATACCAATGACCAATGACTTATAATTTGATATCCACAAAAGCAAATTAGAAGTAATTCTCAAGTGAAAACTACTCCACAAAAATCATTAAAGGTGAGCACATTCTTATCAATTATGTAAATTGTTTTACATATTTAGAAAAAAATTTATTAGATCAATGACACTGACAAATTTGGTCAAAATACTTGCCTCCATTAACTACTCTTTGGTCTGCACCAGAATTCGGGTTGAAATCTGAAGTGTGAGAAGTGGATCTTGATGGTATAGAGCCCGATCCAGGCTGGCCCATACGTGGTGAATTCTGTCTCCCACTTCCCCAGGATATGACTTCTCTATTTCTTTGTCCAGGAGGAATATATTTATTCTCCCTGAAAATAAGAGATCCTTTAAATAATTTTATCCTAAAAGTAGTTTAGGCAGAAGAAAATGCTTGTTATAAAAAGGTTCAACACTAAACCAGACTCACTCCCAGATGCCCCTGTTCTTCCATCTTACCCTGAGTTCTAGCTTCTGGCCTTTCCTTTCCCTCAGATTACTCTCCTAAGCACAAAGTTTAACATTTGTGTGCTCATTCTCATCCTACTTTACCTCTTTATGGCTGATTCTATCAATTTCATCTACCTTCTTCAAACTTTTTTTGTCCTTGGCTTTTCCAACTTTATTTTCCCTGGGATCTCTTCTCTCTCTGGCTGTTCTGTGGTTTTTCACAGCTTCAGTGTCAGCAATACTGATAAATCCCAAACTGCACTGCCAGTCCCACATTCTCAATATCTCCCACTGGACATGTCAAGTCAAATCACCAGACTCTAAGTAGTGAGTGCCTTGAAGATAGGAAGTATCTCTTACTCTACAAGGTATGTAGCAGGTGTTTCTCAATACATGTTCATGGGTAAAAGAAATACCCACAAGCCCCTCAAATGCAATAAGTCATATGAATGGAGTCATTGTTTTTCTTCTCAAACTTGTTCCATGTTTCCTATCTCTGTTATCCATACAAGCATCAATTTGCTTAGTTATCAAACCTCAGGGTCATCCCGAATTTTTCTAACCTTCCTATCACAAGCCCCGGACTATTGGTTACCAAGTTCTCACAGTCAAACTATTTCAATGCACTAACTGGTCTCTATGTTCCAGCCAGTCCTCAATGCCCCAGGGTTTGTTCACCTAACCCCAGCCTAAAGGGTTCTCTTTAGCATGGCACACAAGTCCTTCAACTACTTCTGCTTCTATCGCCAACTGCCACCACTGTACCCAACACAGCCGCTATGTTCTAGGCATGTGAAACAGCCAGTCCTTTCCTGAGCTGGCCAGATTCTCTCACATGGCTTCTCACCAAGTGGGAAATTCTTCTGTACTACAGTCTGAGTGGCAGACTGACCCTATTTTCCTATCACGAAATGCCACCTCCATTATGTTAGTTCCTCCTCACTCTGGATGTTCCTAGTATTTGGAACACACCTTTAACTAAGCAAATTATATTGTACTGTTCTTATGTTATATGTGTACTCCCACCTGATAATTATTTTTTAACAAGCTCTTTGAGACTGGCTGTTCATCACTGTATATCCAACACTTGGCTCCACAGAGCTGACTCTCAAAACATATTTTCCAAGGGCCGGCCCGTGGCTCACTCGGGAGAGTGCAGTGCTGATAACACCAAGGCCACGGGTTCGGATCCCATATAAGGATGGCCGGTTAGCTCATTGGGTGAGCATGGTGCTGACAACATCAAGCCAAGGGTTAAGATCCCCTTACCGGTCATCTTTTAAAAAAAAAAAAAAAAAACATATTTTCCAAGATTACCATAATCTTTTTTTCTAACGAAATCATAAACCAATTCCATTTGCATTCTCTACCTACTTTACATTAAAGAGAGAGGAAATATAATAATAATAATACACCTTCTCACACAGACCTTGAGTTGTGTATCCAAAATACTGCATCATGATTTCCTTTAAATACCTAGTGTTTATGCTGTGCCCCTCACGTTCACTGGAATTTCTCTGAACTGCTGTGTATTTTTCTTCCTCGCTCCTATCATCATTTTCCAGGGCCACCCGAGCTTTGTATTGGGCACTTGATTCAATTTCTTCTGCTAACTGGTTTGCTCTTGCTTCCCGTTTTAAAAATTCTTCTGAGTTATCCCTTTCTAAGGGCACCCTGAAACATGAAGAAAAGAAAAACTAAGTGAATATTTTAAAGTCACAGTTTACATATCTGTCACAACCAATCACTTTTAAAAGTTTAGAGTCTGGAATACTGGTAAAACTGTAAGAGCTACAGTGATCTGTTTATTTACAAATCAAAATTGAAATTTTTTTTGTTACCTTTTCCCTGGAGAAACTTAGTACTTCAAAATTAGTTAAACTAACTGTTCACCATAATCTCTACCCTTGAAAATTTAGATTTTTTTTTTTTTAAAAGAGGCTGGTCAGTATGGGGTAAATTTAGATTTTTTGCAATTTAAAAACAAGACAAAAACAAAATTTATTTAGAACATAAAAGTAGGGTTTAGGGAAACAACATTTATTCCCTGTTTTAATGGGAATTTATCAGCCTAGGTAGTAACAGAATAATTCTTTCATATAATTGTTTAACTTAAAATCTGACAAACATTTATTCAATATAAGTTGATTAAAATCAAAGACAAATGCACTAAAATAAAAGCGAACTTCTTAAACTTACGTATATGAAGATAAACTGCTATCATATGTAGATACTACACCATAATTTTCTTCATTATATCGAAACATATCATTGGGATCCCATCCATTAGACTGGAAGAAAATGAAGCTCATTTTTCAAAATGACAAAGTATTGGTTTTCTTTAATTTAGTTACAATCAATAGGTATACTAACAATATTTAACAAGCTATACTAGTAAAATCTAGCAAATTAAAAACTAGGCAAAAATTTCCTTAAAAATGTTTTAAGGAAAAATTTTCTCCTACATATCAGCCCCTCAAGTTGGTAGATAACTATACAAAACAATTATTTGAGAGGTTATTAGAAAAACAGAGAATATTTTAGTTATTTCATAAAATATAGCCTTCAGATCAGGGTTCTCTTCTTTCCCTACCCCCTTAAACAGCCACTTTTCTATAGGGTAGAGACACCTGTATTTACCTGAAGCCTTCTTGAGATGACTGATCATCAGGTCTGTGAAGGACAAGGAGTGCTTTCTGATTTTCAAAACTAGTTTCAGTGTTTGGGGGAAGGAAGTGAGAAGCCAAAGCTTTTCCCACTGCACTGCTATTTCAAGGTGGGACAGTAGTGCTAGGGCCCTGTCCTCCTCCCCTACCTCTTGGGAACACTCAAAGGGAAGGTAGCATGAGACAGTGGACAGACAATCACCGGACAAAGTCACCAGAGCTGAGTTTTAAAAATGGTTTTGCCGTTAGCAGTTGTGGGCCCTTAGCAACAGCAATTCTGGATCTCAGTGCCCTAACCTATAACTAGATAACTCTACAATTCTATGAGGGATCAGGAAACTGCCACTCTGAATGCTAGGCTGCATTCTTTATAAGAATCAACCAATCAGGACAAAGGCTGTAAAAATTTTCACTGGTGACTGTTAATACTTGGTTAATCACTTCTCTCTCTAATGTTTCAACTCCCCTTTTAAAGCTTAACTGGTGAGAAGGGGCAAAATTCAATACATAGCTGTTATTCATTCCATAAAGAGTGGACATAGTATCCTCCAAGCAATGCTGATGGCAATTTCAACAATAAAGCTTGCCTCAAAGTACACCAGTCAACCTCAGGTCCTCCTGTGCTACTCCATATAAGACTACAATGTAATTTCTACCACTAAAGCAATTCCTTTGGCCTAACACATGTAGGCAGGAAATCACAATTACCTATGGAGGCTTTAAAATTACTTAATATATGCTCTTCATAAAAAATCTACACCACACAGAAAGACATACAGTAAAAAGTGACTGTCTTCTAATCTCAGTGTGCAGAAGTACTATTAACAGTTTCTTGGGTTTAATTTCAGACATCTGCTATGCATATATAAGAATATGATCAGTTGGTTTTTTTTTTTTTTCCTTTTTGTCTTTTTTCGTGACCGGCAACAGATCGCAACCCTCAGTGTCGCACCCGTACTGGACCGGGACCAGCAACGGATCGCAACCCTCGGTGTTGCACCCGCACCTCGCTCAGCCAGTGAGCGGCCGGTCTGTATGTGGGATCCGAACCCTTGGCGGGAGCGTCGCCATGCTCCCAAGCGGCGCACTGTAGCAGTGCACCACCGGGCCGGCCCCCAGTTGTTGTTTTTTTTAATTCAAATAGGATCTTACTGTTCTGCAGCTTGCTTTTTCTTTTAATAAATCTTACATATCTTTCCATATCAAACTACCACTCTTTTCAGTAGATATGTAGTATGTCAAATAAATGGCAGCATCATAAATCTATTTATTTCATACTCTATTGATGGACACTTAAGATGCTTCCAATTTTTCACAATTAGAAACAATGCTACAAAAACCATCCTCATATATATCTGTTTGCATGTCTTATAGATATACTAGGGCAAAAAATAAATTCTTAAAGGTAGCATTGCTGGAACAAAGTGAATATGATTTTAAATTTTGGTAAACATTGTCAGATTCTCTCCAAAAAGCCTCTATTAATTTATCCACTTCACTGATAGTGTAAAAGGAATGCCTGTTACCCCATATTCTCCACATAGGTAACATGATGCACAGATTTGAAAACTGTTAGATTATATATGATTCTTTAAAACTTGAAAATTAATAATGACATGGCCTATTATTTCCTATTTTATAACTACAGATGGGATTGAAGTAGAACATTTTTTAGGTCTAAGGAAGAGAAGGTACTAACTATTAAGTTATTATTAATGCCTTAAACATCACACACAAGATTTGTTAAGAATTCTGTCACACTCAATGGAAGATTCTTCAACCAATTAGAATTTTGCTACCCTAAACACTTTTTTTTGGCAAGAGACTTTGCTTTATATCCTAGAGTCTTTATTAAGCATGTGATTTACAGATGATGTGTTATAGGAGAAGGAAAAATAATATGCAACTAGAGGCATTTTAAAAATAGCAAGTTACTGTGGAGAATGATCCCAATTTAAGACCAAGAAATTTATGTAATGCTTTAATTCTAATGTAACCTGTTTATCTTAATAATGAGTATGTTCTTTTCTTCAGACAAGAAGGCTAAAATGTCCTACTTTGACCTCATCTCTAGGTAAAGCCAAGAGACAATTAAGACACCACTTTCCTTAAGCTGCCTTATTCTGTAGGACATTCAAAGCAAAACACGCTAGCATTTCCCATGGTTTTTAATTTAAAATTTTAAGTTGCTTATTATGACTTATTTTAATCACAAAGAAATATTTCATGAGCATCCACATGGATAGACAGGACTCCTGCTTAACAAGTAAAATTACGAAAAAAATTTTTTTACTTTGTTTATTGTCTGGGAGAAAGTCTCTATTTACAAAACAAAACTGCTGCTCTAAATATATTCACTATGACAAAAGCAACATACTTAAATTAAAACCAAGTGATAGGATGTCATATTACCACACTGATCACAGAATCCAATACTAATCACAAAAATTTTACTTACTACATCGTTTTCCAAAGCCTCCAGTTCCTCACTGGTTGTGAGTTCACCTGCATCCCAGGGCTCCAGGTCCTTCTCTTTGTGTTCACCATTCACTTTAGCACTGATTGCAGAGTCAGTAAAAGCATCTGCAAAGGATGGTTTTGGTTGAAATATCACACAACTGGACAATCGGCTACACAAATAAACACATGAATGTCTGCTAAAAAATAATTACAAAAAGTGAATTTCTGATATGGAAAGAATAACATTAATAGTATGCTTCCGAATTTAATTCAGTAAATAGCATTATAGATGATTAGCAAAGGTATTTTCTTCTCATTCATTAAATTATATTAAAGGTAACTACTTTCAGAAGTGACCCAGAAAATTTCTATCAACCCATCTAAAACAAGATCTCTTTTGATGAATGGATCCACTAATTAAATATACCTTCAGAGTACCTGCAGCCAAATATATGCAGTTTTTTTAACTTTCCAAATCCATGTCTATATGCAAGGGCCAGTATCCTGACATACTCTTGCAATTAGTAACTAAAGCCACTCTAAGCGGCCCACACCTTCACAGAACCCACTTTTCCCTATAACCACCCTCTTCCAAAATTCAGGCCCTGCAGTGTTACTTGTCCCCAGAAGGTTCAGGTGGCAGGTCTACCTGGACTTTCTATTAACATATTCTCACTTATTTGTGTCTTCTCCACTTCTGCTAAATGTTACTGAGGAACACTGGCTTGTGAGAGAAACGTGGCATCCATATGTTCAACATCATATGTTAATTATTGTCCATCAAAGGATATTTCCTCTAGTTGGGAGATAGGTCCCAGCTAAATAAAGGTTCACTTGGGCAATGACAGTATTAGGAAGGTTAGACTGATAGGGTAGCACCTACCCCTAGCTAGGGAGTAATTCTGCTGATCTGGCTCTGCTGAAGAGTACAAGCTCCCAGGTATTAAGTCCTCACTCTTACTGCAAATTGCCACTGAGAGGAAGAAGGGAAGAATCAACAGCCTAAACACACAATTCTCCTTCAAAAGAGATTATTCCAGAGGGATTTTCAATTTGACACTGCTTCTATAACTGTCATTGTCTCTCTAATGGGCAAGGTGACGCCAAAATAAGAAATTTGAGCCAGCAAATTTAGTCATGGCACTGCAAGCCTAGCTAACTCCAACCTCCTCTAATCCTAAACTAGCAATGAGTGGGTGTGGGTGGATGTGCACGCACACTAGGGAATAAAAGCATCATTGCACCTCTGAGCTTAGCTGCCAGCTTCACCAGCAGCACTGTTCTCAGTGCTGGCAATCATTAAGCCTAAGAGTACATGCCAAGGGAGAGCTCCAGAGTGGCAGGCCTTAGTTGGGGGTGGGATGGAGCATTCACCGGAAGATAACTGCATTTTGGAAAAGCTCTCTAAGAGGTTCTAGGAGACTGATGCTGTCTTCCGAACACTCCATCTTCAGCTGGAAGCAACGAATGGCCCTAAAAACCTGGCCTTATTTGACACTAACCTGAATCAAGACCTACTCTACATCATCTTAAAGTTATGTGAATTCTTGGTAAAAATTAATTTACCCATGTGTACTTTCAAGAATGTGAAATGTTCCCCCAAAAAACATCAAATAAAACTTACATTAGTATCCTGAAATTCCTTTAATTCTCACAAAACTAGAAATAGAAAACTAGACTACAGGAAAATTCCAAACCCGTCATTTTATCTTCTACAAGAAATAATAGGATTATTAATTTATAAGATCCCGTAAATGTTTTAATCATACTAGTTTTTGAAAAGCATACATTTAAGTGAATAAAGCTATTATTTGGATAGAAATACATCATTAAATTTCTTTCTTTTTATTCAAGAAATTAAAGCTCAAAGCAGCTAGAGATTTTTATAGAACCATATAAGTGGACTTTTTCTCATTGCAGGGGGTGGTGTGTGTGTGTGTATGCATGTATATGACAGTATTTAGAAAAGATGGGCCTAAGTCAAGTTGTCCTCAAATCAAAAGATCCAAATGCACATGCACACAAAATAGCTTAAATATGGGGCCGGCCCGGTGGCACACTGGATAAGTGCGCCGCTTGAGAAGCGCGGAGGCGCTCCCGCCCGAGGGTTCAGATCCCACATACAGACCGGTTCCCGCTCACTGGCTGAGCGAGGCGCGGGAGCAACGCCGAGTGTTGCGATCCCGTTGCCGGTCCCCGGTCCGGTACGGGGGCAACACTGAGGGTTGCGATCCGTTGCCGGACACGGAAAAAGACAAAAGACAAAAAAAAAAAAATAGCTTAAATATGAATTTATGGTATTCTTCTACCCCCCCCCCAAAAAAAATCAAAAAGGACCCCACAATGGAAGCTGGCATGGAAAAGCAAGCATCTAAAACTTCACTGAACCAGGCTTTTCTCTGGTGACCACAATTTAGGTTATGTAAAAGATACCATTACTCAGTAACCTATTTTTTTCAGTGCTACACTTTTATCTTAAATCTTCTGTTTAAAATGCCAACCTTTTAAAGGATTTAACCTTTCACATGTTGTAACTTAGGAACATGATTTTCTTTCAAGGTAGAAAGGGATAAAGGGAAAATACAAAAGTGTGAGCCTATAAGGAATAACTTCCCTTGATTTTTTTAATTTTTTTAGAGATGATCGGTAAGGGGATCCCAATCCTGACTTGGTGTTCTCAGCACCACTGCTCTCCCAAGTGAGCCTCGGGCCAGCCCAAACTTCCCTTGATTTTAAAAGTTCCCCCAAAGTAAGTCCTTTTTAAAAGATGAGTAAAGGGTTTAGAGAAAGATGTGCAGAAGTGGAGTTAGCACAAATGAGGCTGAAGTGTCAGGATGCTGGAAGAAACCCTGGCCATAAGTACTATATTTCAGGCCAACATTGTATCATCAGCTAGAAAGAAACAAGATCTGGGTACTCCATTCTACACTGTTATCAGTATCCACTACTGAAAAGTTTATTTTGTTTTACAATTTTAGTAAAATAAAATGCTAGACATTTTATTAACAGCTATATGTTTAGATTTTTAAAAAGCACTGTTGGTATTAAATGGTACAATGTTTTAACCAAATTCCTGCAAAGTTCAGAAAAATCAACTGGCTATTATAATCTACTTGCAAGTGTGGGAATTTACATACAGATTTTACCAATGCCATAAGTCAAAGCATACCAATTTTCCATTATCTTCTATAGTGAGAAACAAAAGCATTACAAGAGCAAGATGCAAGAATACAAAGTGACTGTTAGAAAAGTGTTACCTGTGTCTGAAGGAACTACAGCTATGTAAAGAAAAAAGGAAAAATAAAAATTATCAGATGATAAAGATTTAGTTCTTCATGTGCTTCAACCCCCTGCTTTATAAACAACCAATTTACAAAGGCCTCTAGACTAGAGGGAAAAAACGTGCAAGATTATTACCCCCACCCCACCCCCACTCCCGTCCCCTTTACCCTACCTCTGTGCCACCCCCCCGCCTCCAGCAGGCAAGCTCTCAACACCTTCACTTCTGAGTCTGGGGAGAGACCCAGTCATTCTGGGCCAGTGATGCCACCTGGTGGTGGTCAGAAAGAAATGTTTGAACCTATGTGTCACCTCTCTTGGGTATCCCCTAGCCACTCTTCAACCTTTCCTCTTTACCTCTCAGTCATACCTCTGAAAATCATTAAGTTTGAGAATTTTCTTTCTTTTTTTTTTTGTCCTTTTTGAGACCGCTGCAATGCACTCAGCCAGTGAGCGCTGTGAGCGCACCGGTCATCCCTATATAGGACCCAAACCCGTGGCGGGAGTGCTGCTGCGCTCCCAGCGCGGCACTCTCCCGAGTGTGCCACGGGCTTGGCCCAAGTTTGAGAATTTTCTAAAGGGTCAGAACAGTGGTCAAATAAATAAATACTAGTGATACGTTATAAATAAACAAAAATTTAAATTTATAAAAACTACAAAATGACACAAAACTAGATGAAATAATAATCATTAACATAGGAAACCCTCAAATATGCTTCCAGAAAAGTTTTCACCAAAATCCTCAGCTACCCATTTCATCCTAATTAAATCTGCCTTTTTTCAAACACTGAAATTCTAGATAAATAAGAAAACATTTCAGTTTTATTGGCTTTTTAAAAAATTTTATTAGCATATTCCTTCTTACAAATAATATTTCTTTATGCTCTTTGCCTGACCTATCACTTCCTACCCCCCTCCTTCCCCCCCCCCCCCCGTTTTATTCTTTGGATCAATTACTACTATTGTGGCATTCTTCCCCACAACTTTTAAAAACATTTTCTCATCATACATCATCAGTTATATATGAACCAATCTATATACTACAGTTTCTGTTACAGTGGGTACCAACATGGTAACTAAAAGACCATTTATTCATTTTTAGCATGTACTGAATACCTACAATGCGCTGATCATGAGTGTAGATGAGCTGGGGATTCTCATTTGACTGAGACACAATCCCCACCTTTTCCTGCAGGAACTCCCAGGTGTGGGAGGGTAGTTACAGATGTGAAGCAAATCTTTTAGAATCTAATGCAATGAAAGCTAAAATATAATTAAGAACAAAGTTCTGTGGAACAAAAAGCTATGGCTTTAGAAGTAACAGCTGATATGGGCCTTCAAGAACATAAGGTGAAATTAAGTAGGAAGAAGTAAAGGGGCTCCAACATAGAGTAGCATCAAAAATACACATAAAAGTTCTATGAACTGTACTGTACTATGGGACTGGAAGTGGGACTATGGGTTAGAGGAGAGATTATTATTTTTTCTTTCTGTGAGATTATCTTTCTATTTCTCTTTCTACTCATCTGTTCTAACTGAATTTTTACACTATGAGCATATACTTTAGCACATATTATACAGATAATATTAAAGAACAGCATAAAGAAACAAGCTGGGGATAAGGAACACAATATGGGCCCAAGGTGTATGGATAGGAACAAAACTAAGGGACAAGTGAAGGCACACCCTCAGGCAGGGTAGGGGGTAGTGATAGTGTACGATGACGACAAAAGAGGACTGCAGGGAGATGGAGCACAAGCAACCTCTAGATTAGGGATTCTTAACCATTTTTAAAAAAAAATCCATGGACTCCCTTACAACATTTTTGGGAAGCCTGTGAATCT